GGATCCAAGGGCTCTGTCTTTTTTGTCTCCCTACTTTCCTCTGCATTCTCCAATAGCTTCATTTTTAGACAGGCAAAGTTGGCTACTGACAGCTCTAGGCTTACATCTGTTCCTTTTGCTAGAGACACTAGAGAAAAGAGAAAATCTCTACTCAGTGGTTTCAATTTAAAGAAAATGAAAACAAAGCAGGCAGAGATTAGAGATTACCCAGTCTTTATGAATGTGCCCATTTCACCCCTTGCAGATAAAATGGCCCTGCTATTGGTGAAGTCATCAGTGAGGTTTGAAGCAGTTTTTAAAAGGAAAATGGGTAACTCCGTTGCCCTTAGGTCTTTCCCTATTCTAGGCCTCAGTCTCCATCTCTAGGAAAGATCTAACTCTAGCCTTCTCTGTTTCTAAGATTATTTCGAGCTCATGAGAATCAAACCATAAGCCTCTATGTCCTCACACCTCTTTATCTATACAGTGAAAACAAGGGCTCTTTCCTAGGTGTCACTGAGTGAGGGCCATTGGTGGGGTGCAATGCTCATAGTAGATGGTAATAGGGTAGGGCAGAGCCAAAGCTCTGCGATTCCCTACTTTAGCAAGTCCTCTACCCCCATACCACACATCACCACCACCATCAAACAACCTCTCTTAATACTGGGAGCTGCCTTAAAAGTACCTCCCTGAATGTGCTCTACTGCCTTCTGTTTGTAGGGTACCCATCCAAAATCCGCTTGAGGAATTGTCCCCACCGCTGCGAAGGGAGAGTGGAGATGGAAAAGGAAGGTCGCTGGGGCACTATGTGTGATGATGGCTGGGACATGAAGGATGTGGCTGTGCTGTGCTGGGAGCTGGGCTGTGGAGCAGCCAAGCACACACCTGCAGGCATGTTGTATGCACCAGTGGCAGAAGAGGCCCAACCTGTGTTCATTCAGGTAGTCCTGTGCTATGGGACAGAAGAAGCAATGGGTGAATGTGGGCAGGTTGAGACCTTTGACTGTGAGCCTGATGAGGATGCAGGGGCAGTGTGTGAAGGTGAGTAAAGACAGGGCCTAGTGGGTGGGAATTGTGAGCTAACCCAGCTCTGAGGCTCTTCCTTGTGCTGCCACCTCTGATTCCCTTTACTACTCGCCTTCTGGCTTTAGAATCACCCACTCATAGGGCCGGCCCAGTGGCGCACTGCTACAGTGCGCCACTTGGGAGCGAGGTGGTGCTCTCGCCGAGGGTTCGGATCCCACATACAGACCAGTTCCCGCTCACTGGCTGA